ACTCTTTTACCAACGAATAGTGGGATTGGCCGTCACATTCTAACGCCCCCACAGCGAACCCGCGACCCTCAGATTGCGAGTCGAGTGCCTTAACCACCTGGCCATGCAGGTTGCGAATAAAATACCCTAATCACCAGGCACAGTTCCAGTTCGAAGTCGAAACTTGAAATGATAGAACATAATTCGTAGCCTGATACAAAAACTGATGTTAGTCAAATTAACAAAAGAGGAAAAAAGTAACTGGCGCACAATACAGTGAGCTTAAAGTAAAAACTTGTAACGTAGTAAAATATGAATGAAACAATAATTAGAATTATCTAGATAATTTGGCTGAACAATAAATAGTGAAAACAAAAATAAATAAATCAAATATATTAAAATACTTGCAACACAAATTAATTTTTCAAGGCAAAAATCAAATGAAATATTAGCTAAAATACTGCATGGTAATTGTATATTGGAATTTCAAACAAATATAATAGATAAAATAAAAGAATAAACGTTTAAGGTAAGGAAAATAATAATGCATTTAAATCAAACAGAAGGAAATAGCTGTTAACGTAAGATTAAACATTGCAGTTTGAAATTTATAAGTCATAATGTGGAATAAAACTAGAGAAATGAAAAACTTGGTGTTATAAGTAAACCAAGAAAAATGGGGTAAAACTGTAAACCATAAGACTGTCTAGGGCTTTACTCAACTTTTTTTATATTTCTTCTTATAATACTTTTTTCATTGTTTGTTCAGATAAGCCCTCCTTCAAGCACACATTCTCTTGGCCAGGTGGTTAGAGCGCTCAACTCGCAATCTGAGGGTCGCGGGTTCGAATCCCCGTCCCACCAAACATGCTCGCTCTTTCAGCCGTGGGGGCGTTGTAATGTGATGATCAATCCCACTATTCGTTGGTAAAAGAGTAGTCCAAGAGTTGGCGGTGGGTGGTGATGACTAGCTGCCTTCCATCTAGTCTTGCACTGCTAAATTAGGAACGGCTAGCGCAGATAGCCCTCGTGTAGCTTTGCGCGAAATTCAAAACAGACCAATCCACATTCTCCTGGTTTAATTAACAAGTTTTAACTACTAATCATTGGTAATCTTGTATTTCGTGTTCACATCTCTGATCTTCAAATTTATACAAAACTGCCCAGGTCTGTGTCTATTGCTTTGCTTGAAACTGTGCATGCTTTATCAACACAGGACAGTAGGTAGCTCTAGCCCTAGTAAAACTACCTTCAGAAACGTAGTTGGCAGTTCTCGATGACTATGGTCAATGGTGATAGCCACGACACAGACAGGCTATGTAACATTCCACATCCTGGATGACTAATATACCTATTTCTTCGTGGAAAGAGTATATCATTGTTGTAGCACGATGTGGTATGATAGTTGAGAGCACTACGATCGTTGGACTTCTGTTGGCAGTGGGTCTGGGTGGATTTGAAGTGGCACGCATCTCCATAGGAGATTCTAAGCATCTTCCTCGAGCTACATATGTAAAGAGAAGGTCATCCAGGTTCCTAAGCAGAAACTCTTCTATCTCATTACTTTCTATAGCAAAAGGCAGTGGTGAAAACTCCAAGTCAAAGCAGTCTCTGATAGGTGAGAAGTCTATTTAGCAATGCAGGGTAAATGTCAATAATTAGGCCATGGTCCGCCCTATACAAGAAAAGAAAAGTAAGCACGTGTCTTGTTTCTTACAAAAAGAATAGTTGATATTCTTAACCATTTAATACAAGAATGGATTGCAATCTAATTATTTCAATCATGGAAATTCATGAACATCAGTTTGTCGAGACCTTTGCTATTTCCTTCAGACTGAAGTTAAGCACAGAGAAAAATTTATATATCTCACATGTAGGTGTTACTTTTTTTGCCTCCAGGACTACTGCACAGCCCACATTAATTGTTTTATAGCTATAATTTGGCAAAGTACATAAAAACTAAAACCAATCATGCATATATTGGTAGATGGCTTTCATGTTGCCGATAAGGAAAATCATTCATTTACACATTATTTAAAAATATGCTCTATGAACGAGTCACTTTTGTCACTTTCTATTAAAAAGAGAATAATGCATATGTGCTTATAACAAGCATGTACTGTAAGTATGCTCTATAGATGAGTCATTTTTGTCACTTTGTATTAAAACAAGAATAATAGATGTACGAGGCCTGTGAGAAAAGTATCCGACCTTATTTTTTTTGCGATAACCTGATGGATTTGAATCAAGCGCGCTTGCATGAGCCGACCTTGAACCTTCGTGCGCATGCGTGAATTTTTTCCCGCTTGTTGATTGCGTCAGTTGTTGGCAAGCGGCCATTGAGTGAGGTAGTGCGTAGTGCTCTCGTCGGTTTTTCATTGCAAGGAAAATGACGGAACGACTGGAGCAGCGCTACTGCATCAAATTTTGCCACTGGTGACGAGTCTTGGGTGTACGGGTACGACCCGGAAACCAAATCCCAGTCGTCACAGTGGAAGCATTCCACGTCACCAAGACCAAAGAAGGCCCGCCAAGTGCGCAGCAACGTCAAAGTGATGCTGACTGTTTTCTTTGACTCCCGTGGTGTGGTACACCACGAGTACCACCACAGGGTCAAACAATCACCAAAGAGTACTACAGGGATGTCCTCCGTCGCCTACGTGATGCTGTGCGGCGCAAGAGACCGGAGTTGTGGTCAACAGGAAATTGGCGCCTCCATCACGACAATGCTCCAGCACATTCCTCGCACTTGATTCAGACTTTGTTGGCGAAAAATCAGAGTGGTTCAACAGGCTCCTTACTCTCCTGATATGGCTCCTTGCGACTTCTGGCTGTTCCCCAAACTCAAGAGGCCATTGAAAGGAACGCGATTTCAGACAAGAGAGGACATTATGGCTGCAATGACAGCCGAGCTAAACTCCATTTCGAAAGAGGCTTTCTC